CTTTTCAAAATAAGCCAATGTATATAATTAGGTCGCCAAAATGACAACATAAAATAAGATTTTTTCACATAGTGTGTCAGAAAAAATATATTACAGAAAAATGATAAACTTTGTTTGGTTTGTTTTTTGGAGAGTTGTTTTTGAAAAAAATTTTAGGGAGAGAGTTTAGAATTTTTTTTGATTTGTTTGGTTGTATATTTTGGGAGAGTTATTTTTTTAGGAGTTTGGGATGATTTGATATTTTGGGAGAATTTGAGTAGATGTGTGTGAGAGAAAAAATGATTGAGAAGGAGAGAAGAGAGAGAAAAAGTGATTTATTGATGTGTAAGAGAGAGAAAGTGATTTTGAAAATTTTTTGAGAAAAACTCAAACCAAATAATTTTTAATTTTTTTTTTTCTAAAACTCATCTCCCAAATGCAAACTAAACATACCCTATAAATTTTAATAATTAAAATATATATTTTTTATTATTATGTAATAATTTTTCAAAACATCTCTTAAATATTAATTTCTCTATTTTTATTTTTATTTTTTTTTTGAGATTCAAGATAATAAAATCTAACCTAAGGAGTTGGCATGATGGTAAGCCTTAGGTTTTGGAGGAGTACTCCTCTATAAGGTTCAAGAATAGAAAGGCTCCGTTTAGCAAGAGCTAAACGGGTTTTTTTTTGGCTATTTTAGTCATAAAAGATAAAATAGGCTATTTTAGTCACAAAAAATAAAATATCACATCAAACCCATAATCATTACATTCTTCTCTCACAAAAAAAGTCAAAAAGTCCTTCCCAAACTAAACTTTTTAGCCCAAGCTAAAATAGTCAAAAAAGCAAAAAAATCAAAAAACCAACCAACTTCCCAAACAGAGGCAAAATGCTAATGATAGAGATTGTTGGTAGTCCCGACATCTCCCATTGTCTTTTTGTTTTTTGTTTTTTTTAATTCATAATATATAATATAATATAATATAATATATAAAATATTCAGAATATATTATTTACAGTAATTTATATACAAATACTTAAAATATGTATAAATACATAAAATCATACAAAATTATAAAATAATATAAATAAATAAACTAATAAAGTGTATATTAGGAGATTGAATGTGGAACATTTCGACACTAATCAGCTAACAATTTGTTGGAGTCATCAAATTTGGTGAAAACTCTTCAATTAACCATGGTGCACTTGTGGAAAACTCTCCAAAGAATTAGTCAGGTTTTGACTCGGACACTTCGGTGTCAATAAAAAAAAATAATACTAATCTTTATCAAGTTTTGCTAACACATTCTTTTTTAATTAATAATATAGTTAATACATCTAATTTTTCTTATGACATCTTCTATAGAATTTTATTAGTTTTAATTTTCAAAACTTCTTTTTGTAAAAGCAATAATTACTTATATTGTTAATTAATAATATTCTGTAAGTAATGCATGCATTTAGAAAATAATGCAAAAATTCATTTATGCACCTCTTCGATGATCCACCTCGGATCCATCTTAATAATTTGAGTCCTTCATTTTATTAGACTAGTCGAGTAAATTCCTCAAACAAAAAATTAGATCAATAACTACTTATTTAGATAATATTTGTCTTAATAAAAATGAACTGATAATGGACTATCTATATTTTTTTCAAAATAAATATAATCTGATTAAGTAATTATCGATATCTCTATCAACAATCTAAGGAGTTTGGCTAAACGAGAAGGCAACCGAATAGCGTACCACCCAAGAGATAACCTGTTCGAATCTCTTGAAGGTCAAATATTTCAAACTTTTGAATCGTTAAAAGTTTGTTCAGTCATTAATTTCAGGACCCCAAGATTAATCGAACTACACGTAAACTGGTCCGAACACCCTATATTCCCATTGACTTTAATTTTTTACAAGAATGATAACTATCTAAGGAACTCGACAAAATAAATTCACTCCGATCATTGGCGAACTGAAATGGACCCATTGTAAGACGTACTACCCAAATCATGCATAATGCCTTACTTTATTTCAGACTAACCAGGATGATTATAGCTTATTTTGGGAAGCAAAAAAAAGTTAATTTATTGAAATTTTTTAATTTTTTTAAAAAAACTTGCAAAAAAATAGAGTTGAAGAGTTGATGTGCCACAAATAAACTAATAAATTAATTTTTTTTTCTTACTTTCCAAAATCGCCCTATATGTTAATAGCATCTAAGATTATTCACAACAACAATTAAACAACCATAAGAACAAAAACAAAACAAACCAAATTAGTTTTTGAAAAACCGTACCAATGCTTACCAAACTTTGTTTCAAAAAAATATTTTCCAAATACGAATTTAATCATAATTCACAAAGTAAAATAAATATAGAAAATATGTATAAAAATATGAATAATGTTTCAGAACTCGAATTCTTTTCCCCTGAATCCCCCTAATGCCCAAAACGACGTCGTTTTGGGCATTTTCTTTTCTTTTCTTTTCTTTTTTTTTTTCTTTTTCCTTCGTCTTCTTCATGCAGCTCTGAGACAGGGAGAGGGAGAGGGAGAGAGAGAGGCAGGTCGCAGCTCGTCGCCGTCGCAGGGAAGAGCTCGTCGCCGGGATGTCGCAGCTCGTCGTTGCAGCCCCGCCCCTGGCAGCCCCTGCCTCTGCCTCCGCCTCCGCCCCCCGCCTCCACCTCCACCCCGACTTATTTGGCCCCCTCCAGTCCTTCGCCGCCGTCTGGCTCTGCTTCTTCTTCTTCCCTTCGTCTGCTTTTTCTTCTCTGATTGAACCAAAAAAAAAAATTCAAAAATACGAAACGACATCGTTTTTCGTGTCGAGGGATTAGGGGGGACGTCCTTTCAAGCGACGTAGCACGGCCCTAAAAATATTAAGTTTACCAGAAAATTTACAATCTTACCAGCCTCATCTTTCTTGTTTTATCCCTTACAATAGAGTCCAATTTTATGATAAGCAAAACGCTCCCACTAATTCATTCATAAAAGTTGAGGAATGAACCAGCTTCAAAAGTGCTCAAAAAAAAAAAAAAAAAAAAAAAAAAAAAAAAAAAACCAGCCTCAAACTAATACTTTAACATGCCAATAGGGTGAAAAAAAATCAATAATGTTACAACTACAGGCTTAACTATCTAAAAATAATCTAAAATTGTCATATTATTGTTCAACTTTATTTTACGCATAATTTTTATATCATACAAATTTAATTTCAATCACACAACTCTCATTCGGGAGAAATTCCAGGTCCGTGAAGTTCATAGCATTTTTTTTTTGGAAGAAAATAGGTCTGAGTTCAAAACTTTGATGATTAGGTGGTTTTTGGTTTTTTTTTTCCTGGGATAAATAAGTACAAAAAGACAAAAAAAAATCAAAAAATCACAAAAGGACAAAATAAACAAAAAGACAAAAAAAAAAATACACCATTTTAAAGTCAAAAAGTCAAAAAAGAATACCAAACGACTAAAAAAATTCAAAACTAAAAAAGTTAAAAAAAATAAAAAAACTAACTAAAAAAATCATTGTTTAGTGTATAATCTCTACTAGTTTCTTTCTGTAAACAAGTTCGTCACTTTCGCCACTTTACTCTTTTTATTTATTTTTTAATATCCCTACTAATTGCATAGAAATAATAATAATATTAATAAAAAAATAAGATAAATTACAAATACATCCCTAAACTTTGTTTAATGTACCGATTATTTTTTGTAATTTAAAAAATTACAAATATCTCATTATTAGAATTTTATATTTAACAAAATTAATTAAAAAAATAAAATTCATAATTACTCTCTTATACGTTAATAAAATTAATTAAATTATTAATTGAAACATATTTCTAATATCATTAAAAATTATTAATTGATTTGATAATTTATTAATGAAAAAAATGATTTGTTATTAAATTATAAACCTCAATAGTGGAATGTAATTTTTAAAATTATAAAAGATGATTTATATTTTAATCAAATCTTAAAAAGTAATCCTAAAAAATAAACATTGGTGCTACATACACTAACTAATATCCGTATCTATTTTAACTTAAAAGTTAAAAAGTTAGGGTTGGTTTGGGAAGGGCTCATTGGGCTTTTTTGGCTCCATGAGCCATAAAAGACAGAATAGACTCATGAGTCACAACAGACAAAACATCCCATCCAACCCCATAATTATTACACTCTTCTCTCACAAAAAAATCAAGAAAGCCAAAAAGCCAAAAGCCCTTCCCAAAATAAGAACTAAGCTTTTGAGTCCAAGCTCATATAGTCAAAAAAGTCAAAAAGTCAACCCACTTCCCAAACGGAGGCTAAGTGTCCGTTTGGGAAGAGCTTTACCAATTTTTTTTGGTTACTTTAACCACAAAAGACAAAATAGACTATTTTAGCCACAAAAAATAAAATATCACATCTAACGCATAATCATTACACTATTCTCTTATAAAAAAATCAAAAAATCATTCTCAAACCAAACTTTTTAACCCAGGTTAAAAATAGCTAAAAAAGTCAAAAAAACCAACCCACTTCCCAAACGAAAGCTAAAAAAAAATTAAAAAACCTATAACTTATGTCAAAAAATCAAAGATTTCATTTTATTTTTTATTTTTTTACACATCTTTTCGTAAAAAATTAAAAAATCACTCTAAACATACTAATTTTTTTTACCTCATATTTTAACCAAAAAGCTAAAACAAGACCTTAATGTATTAACTAATATTATGACATTATTTTTTACCCATTTATTATACAAATTATAAATACTCAAATCTTTTAAAATTTTATCAGTTAATATATTAATTAATGTATATAACATTATTAAGGGCTAGTTTGGCATGTACTAAATAAGTCAAAAAATCACTATCTTATTTAAGTCACATCATCTTATTTAAATCGCATCACCTCTCTAATACATCACATCAAACCCAACCCAAACTCACCAATAAGTCAAAAAGTGCACTTTTTTAGGACATTACAAACCAATCCTAAAAAATAAAAGAGAGAAAAGCCAAGAGCTTTAAAGGCCAACTGCAGCTAAATAATTGAATGTTCCACTTTTATTATGGAATCCGCCACCACTTTTTCTTGATACACCACCAACCCCCAACTCCCAGTAGAGCCATCAACCTCATCCAGCCTGTCTTCACACCAACAGTCTCCCCCCAGAAAATAAAATAAAAACATCATCAAAAAAATCAAACTGCTTTTCCCACTACCCATCTAACCAAACTAATAATACTTCCCCAAACAACCACCAAAAAAAAACCCACCAACTCATAATCAAAATCTAAACCCGGTTCGATTCGGTTCAGTTCAAAACCTATTGACCTTATCAGCCTTAACCACCGGATTAGACTTGACAATGGCATCTCTACCCAACGCCTTGAAGTCCACCGAACATTCGTGCTTCTCCGGGTACCTGTGCGTCCCACAGAACGTGTCTCCGCACTTGCACTTGAACCCCAACACTCCCACTTTCTTCTTGCACGAAAAGCACCTGTTCACCGCCTTCGTCTCCGCCTGATTCACCGATTCCACTCCGGCCGCCCGTACAACCGCCGCGGACGATTCGACGGCGGTTTCAACCGCCGAAGACGACGACCCAGCACGGATCTCCACACGAAACCCATCAACCAGCTTGTCCATGGCGGCTTTGGCCGAGGCGGCATGCTCTTCTGTGATTCGGAAGTCTCTGTAGCACTTGGAGCACAAGTTCATCGTCGCCGCTGTGCCGAAGAAGCCACACCCGTTGGCGCAGAGCTTTGGCTCCGATGGTTGGAAGCTCGTGCTGTCGCTCATCTTGTTCCCTTCAGAACCCATCTCTCTTTCTCTCTGCTCCTTCACAAAACCAAAAAAAAATTTAGGTTAGGATTTGTGAATCAAAATCTCTCTCTTCGTGTTCGATGCTTTGATCGCAATCAAAATCGATGATTAATATGAATTTATATAGGATAGTTTGATCGGCCCACGGCCTTATATTCACAATGGGAATACTTCCAATTTGACAAATACACCCTCCTATAGAAGACCTTTTTGGAAGTTAGTATGAAAAAGTTGGGGGTATTATGGTCAATATAGTCCAAGTTTATCCGTAGTTAGTTAGTAACAATTACAATTCGTGTACACGGTGGAAACCAAAAGACGATACTGCCCCCACCGTGTTCGGGTATTTTAGGAAACGGAAGTGAGGATAAAATAGTCTTTTAATACAGGCCTAATTCGAGGCGAACTGGGAAATAATAATATAGTAGTAATATGCAATCCACGCTGGTTCTCAAAGAATCCACACGCTGTCACACCTCACACCTCACGTCTTCTGTAAAAACCCAAACACGTAATCAACCGATGATGATTCGTCGGAAATTTTATCTAAACCGCTTGATGCAAACAATCCGATGATCTTATGAATATCAGACGGCTACAACTTAATAAACTCTACATGAAAATTGAAGAAAACGAAGACTATAATTTGCATCGACGATTCGTCGAAAAACAAATAAATTTTGGACTTGATCTAAAGAAGAAAAAAAAGGTGTATTTGAAATTTGATCTGCTATAATCTGCCCAAAAAGAGAAGGGACAAAACTGAAGAAGAAGAAGAAGAAGTGTTAGGGGCTTATTTATTTCGTACCTGTTTTTCTTCTCTTTGTCTAACGAAGCTTTCTCTCTCTCAGAGACTCTGATGGCGCTTTGATCTATCGATGAAAACTGGCCGCTGAAATGAAATGAAAAAGCTCTCTCTCTCTCTCTCAAACCCCGTACCGCAATCAGAGAGAGCCCCCAGATTATGTTGTTCCTGTGGTTTATGGTGGAGTGAGGTACAGGATAAATAGCATGTGGCTGAAAATGGTAGCAGTTTGATTGGATTCTGATCGCATCCTACAGCATTGACTGTGTGATGGTATGATGATCGGACGGTTTGTTAGGTGTTTGGGGATTTAAAGAATTAAAGAATTTGGGGAGGAGAGGTCGCTTTCAGAAAAGCGAGCTGGGGAGCTTTACCATCCCTTCATTCACACGCTTCTTCCCGAGGCGGGCCCACTGCCTACGGCGAACCCGGTTCGTACTGGCGTTTAATAACTTACCTATTTTACTTTTCAAACCCGATTTTTTGAAGTGTTTAGGAATGAAAGATGCATATCTTATTTATTTACGGAAATTTTCATAAACACATAAAAGTTATTTTATAAAACTGTATAAGTTTATATAAATATATATATATATAAGTTATGATTTTTTAATTTTTTTATAAATTAATTTATATATATTTATAAAAATTTATGTAATTTTATAAGATAAAATACATATATTTATGAGAATTTACGTCGTAAATATATGTAAGGGCGAATTACACTAACAGTCTTTGTAGCTTGAACTTGTGTCACTTTGATTTCTGACCTTTCAATTATGATACATTTGACCCTGAATTTTAAGTCGCGTTCCAAATATAGACAATTGCAGACATTGTTATTTTATTTCAAAGGTAAAATTGTCAATTTCATAAAATATAAACTAATTTGACAAAAATAAATATCAAAAAATTATTTTTAAATTTTAAAAATTATTTCTACTCAAAAAATATAAAATTATATAAAAATGATAATCTTTTACATTTTTATTTTTATTTTTATTTTTTTTACCAAGTTAATTTTTAATATGTGTTTGGATGATAATCATATAATGAGTAGTCGTTTTTGTTGATATTTTTTTATAATTATCATGCAATAGATGGTTGCATTTATTGTTAACAGATATGTTTTGAATGGTTATCATATAATGAATAGTTGTTAGATTTAATGTATAATCAATATGTTTAATATATGAAATGTTTTTAGTTTTGAATTTTTTCATTTAATGGATTGATTTAATAAAAGTGCTGCTAGTAGCACCTCATTAATTATTTTGGATCCCCCATTTATTAACAATTTTTTTTATTATAATAATAATTTCAAATAAAATTACTAAAAATGACATCAATAATTTTAGGATACCCCATCTCATAATTAAGCTTACATATCTACTACATCATGAATTAGGGTTTATGAGAGTACTCACCTCTATCACCACTCATCAATCTTTCTCAAATCCCATATTTAAAATTTACCTACCCTTAAAATCTTGAAATTTCTTTAGCGGCAATATTCCGATGATATTGATGACAATCATTTGATTACCTATACTTCTTCGACAATGATAATGAGTGGAAGTATTTTGGACAACCACAACTCCATAAGACGAGAGGAGTACAACAATAAAAGTTCAGAGGAGTTTTATAACTTTGATGGTATTTTTAACTAAGAGGAAATTGGTCTTATATGGATAAGTTTTTTTTTTAAAATGAAAAAAATAATAAAAAACTGTTCGTCATTTTTTCAACAGTAAACTCCTAAACATATGCTCGAAATTCGGGAACACAGGCCTGAACATTATTTATTTGTTTGGAAATAGATAACCGAACATTTCTTATTTGTTCGAGAACAGACAACCAACTCTGACAATGGTCAAACCGAAGAAAATGATGAGGCGGCTGAGATCACAATCTAAGCCAGTCTTGTTAGGGCAATTGACAGTAATCACACTTGAGTTTTCTTCTTCTTTCTCAAGCACAAAAACCCTAATCCAATTTCTTGCTGAAATATTCTAAGGATTGAAGATTAAAAACCCTACATTTATTTTTCTCACTGTAAGGTCATGAACAAGTATGTGGAGATGAAATAGTAATTACCTTCGTGGGTTTTGTTAGGATTTTTAGGAGAGAGGTTTTTTAGGGTGTGGAGAGGTGTGCATTCAATTGAAGGGATAAAATATTTTTGCAAGGATAATTTTGGTATTATTTGGGGAGATAAGAGAAATTTTAAGAGTTTTAAAATTTATAAGTAGGGGTCCAAATAAATTGAGGGTCCAAAATAATTGATGAGATGCTAATAGCAGCACTCTTTAATACTAATTGAGAGGGAGATTTATGATCTAGTTTCGGCCAAACAAGATTGGGCCGAAGTATTTGGCTTCAAGATTGTGCCGTGGTTTTGCTCAGTAATGGCAAAGGGCCTGCGGAGTCGAGCTACTTGGGCTCTTTGGTATGAAGGCCGGTCAAGTGAGAGCTCGGCTGAGACGTCCGCGGCCTAGAAGGGCTTCACGGTTCGTGCGTTGCTCGGTCGGAAGGCGCGCACCCATAGCTCGGCATGAAGATTCGTGCCTGAAGCTCGGCAGGAAGGCCTTTGGTTGACCGGAATGACCAATCCCGTGCTCGGCGTCGCCGGAATGTGGTCGAGCACGGCTGAAACGAAGCTCGGTTATTGGAAGCACTTGGTCTTGAAGTGCAGTATGGCTGTTGGCAGCCGAGAAGCTGCAGCCCGGCTGCCGAGCTCCCAATAGAGTGGGCTGGCAGTTGGGTTAGGTGATGTTCAGCGTGATTTGTGCTGACAGATGGAATAGCAGCACCAGGTGTCGAGAGACTAATGAGAGTAAATTTGGGGCGCAGAAGGTATATAAACGGGTCTGCGCCCCCCATACGCAGACAGATGAACATTTGGTAAGAGAAATACTTACACTCAACACTCTCCATTCTCTCTATCTATCCCTTGTGTGTGTTCTAACTTGACCGTCAGAGGGGTTTTTCAGCCACACACCGCCGGGTAGCTCACCGCTGTTGTGCTCGCAGGTGATCGGACAGAAACGGAGCTTGGAAGAAAGAAATACGGGCTTGCCGGAATATTTGCTCCCCGTACACTAATGATATCAAAATTGTCGTCATGTTTGACTTTTGAAAAAATAAAAACTAATTTAATAAAAATAAATATGAAAAAAAATTATTTGAAACAATTATTTATATCCTCCCAAAAGATAAAATTATATAAAAATGATATGTTTTTAATTTTTTTCACCAATTTAATTTTTAGTTTCTTAGAAAAATTTTCTGAAAATAGATTCTGAAAACCAAATCAAACAGAATTTTATAATTAAAAAAGTTTCAACATTATTTATTAAAAAAAATGTCCTTATATTTCAAACAATATATAAATTAACTAACACAAAATAAGTTGTATGACGATTTTGCCTTTCAAATGGAGCAACAATATCTTCGATTGTCATTATTTGGAACGATATTTAAAATTTAAAGTCAAATTGTAGCAGCGCCCGCGGAGGGGGCCTCGTGCTACAGTTCGGACTCGATTTGTGTCACGGTTCTTAATCTGAACCAAAGAGTCCAAATCTGGCAAATCGTTTTGAGAAACAGATTTTTGAAAAAGTAGTGCCAAACATGGACTGCTTTGCCAGATACAGAGTCGCCACCTAAATATTTTAAAATGGGGGAATTTAGGAAACCCTGACTCAGTGCCGAAGGCCACATGTCCGTCATCACCGAAGTTGTCTCGGCTCGGGAGCTAGGGTACGATCGGGGAAGGTCAGCTATGAGCACCCCCTTTCGCCCAGTCCGAAGACCGGCCTCTACTAACCGTGATATCCGTTTTTGAAAACATTATGTGTTCTTATTCCATTTATTAGCCTAGAATTACTATGTTATGCGCACAGCAAACAAGTATAGACCAAATCGCCCAAATTGGAACAAAACATTTCATGTTTGTTTTGAAAATGGTTTGCTACTCGCAAGTAGGCTAAAATACGGATTTCAACGAGTTTTTCCAACTCAAACAATCCAACCTTCACCCACAGGCAATCAAACAAGTTTAACACATAAGCATCTAGCCACACGGTAAGCATGCTGTCATGATAGCATTCACACGCATGCGATATGCTAAAGCATAAAAACTTACCTAGTACTCCGAGCCAAAACAATAAACTAGTTAGCAAAACATGCATGTCCTAGTTCACGTTGAATTGCCTAATGTAACACATACAGGATGCAATTAGATAGGCTCGGCTAATCTAAGCATGGCATATGAAATGCGATCAACTATCACATATTCAATTTTTGAATTGAAGTACAAATGCAGTTAGCGTGATGTAC